CTTATAACTTAAGAATTCTAAGATTCCATATACTAATGTCCCTAATGTGGAAGTCCATTTTTATTTATTTTTTTAGTACAATTGAAAAGTTATTGTCCTCCCCTGCCCCAGATCTTTGATACAGAAATGTAGATGATGGTATAAAATCTTTACTAAAAAATATCAGTCTCTTATGTGGAGTAATTTCAACAGAGAGAGGTTTTCTAACAAGTTTTACTATGTATGCTGTGTATTTATACTGAGGTATGTCTATTTTAATCTGAACAATTTCTATTGGAAAATAATCTATCTGATTAAAAAGTTACAGATGATATGAATTCAAACAATGTGTACAATGAGTTTTTCATTTATAAGGATTGTTTAAAGATGATTTGTTCGTAGTCACAAGATCATATAAAGCTAGAACCCTAGGAGGAAAATGTATGTGTATCTTTTCTTCAATATCTCTTTGTATTATGTGAGTGACTAAACAAGGTTTCTAAGGAAATTTTTGAAAGTGTTCATCTCAGACTTGGAGCAAGAATAATACGTACATTTTACCTTTACAAGGCATTGTCCTGCTAATATTATATGAAATAAGTAGACGGATTTCTGCTTTGTGCTAAAATACACTTTGCCAAAAGATGGAGTTGTCTACGTTGATATTCATCTAGTGAGTATCATAGCTCTAGGGGCAGGACAAGTTAGAACAAGTTCTTAGTGTAAGCAGCCGGATATATGGATTAGATTTTTCATAAGAAAATGCTAGAGAGAAGTGATATGATTTAGGGTTAAACAATATGACAGTTTGCTTGGGTTATGTTTCTATGGTTTTGACTCAACAATTGCTACCAGAGAAATGACTCTCCAGAACTTTGGAAACTTACCCACAGGGTGAGGGGACAGAATGACCAGTCGTGGTTCCCTGTGTACTCACCATGTGAATCAGACCTTTGCCCTATGTGATTCTGCCTCCAGCATTTTGCTTGCTATTTTCAATGCTAACTACAGACAAGAGAAAAAACTCCCAAGCGTAAACCCAGCATGCTATAAGAAAGCCAACAACCAAGTTTGCATTCTACTCATGAGCAGGCAAGATCAGTGTTAGAAGGACTGTTATTTTCCTTGGGGTTTTAGCTTACGGCAGTTCCGAAGGGTGTGGGTGTGACCTAGATTGTCACTTTGAAGTACAATATTTAAAATGATTATTTTTGAAAAGGAGGGATCTCTTCTTCTTATAAGACCAAGATCATGTGTAATACCCTGCAAAATAACCCAGTTACAATGAGAGTTTTAAAAAGGTTAGTATTATACACTAAAAGATCTCCAATATTACATTAGTTTTTGGCAGATTGCTTTGGTTTTGTAATTGTAAAAGAGGAACACATCTTTCATAATAAACTGTGATGTTAGGGAAAAAAGTGAGTCACACTAGCAGGTTTACCATTTAAAAAATAACTAACTGGAAATATTGAATAGACTCTATGATTTAGTTAATTTCTGAGAAGTCTTATTTTTAACATTTCAATTAGAAAAAATAGTTTGCAACTCAAGGGTAGTATTTTATATGAATTAAACCTCCTCTCAGTTATATACCATATCCCAGGACATGATTAACAGAGAGAAAAAAATGAAGAGTCACATTCAACAGGATGAATAAGTCATATCCCAGGACATGATTAACAGAGAGAAAAAAATGAAGAGTCACATTCAGTAGGATAAGTAAGTCAAATATGAAGCAGAAAAAAGGTGAAAGTACAAAAACATACAAGAACTGATGATATTTTGAAAATCATTTATAAGGCAGCAATAAAATTATATGACAAAAAGCACAAGGTGTTCATTTTTAGTTTTAGAAGATGAAGCTATGTAGACAAGGGAATAAATAATATGTAAATAGGAGTCTTATAAAAATACTATACAACTAAAAATCTGGAACAGGAATTTCCAGAAAGCACTAATGCGGAAGCAATCCCTGGTGCCTTTGAATTCACCAATATATAAGCCAACACAAACATACTAACAAAACTGTATTGAAAATAAACTTGAAAAGAAAGCATCATCTAACCAATCAAATGGAATGCTTTCTATACCCTCAGAATGATAAACTACATTATTGGAGGCAAAATTAGCATTCGCCCAGTTTATTTAATTCAGTGTACTCTCCTATTAGTTATATTTACTTACCTGAAGTTTAAAAAAAAAAAGCCATGACATTGCAAAGGAAATGTTGTCTAAAAGAAACAGATTTTCCTCTCTAGAGAAGCCCACCCAGATCCACACCTGAGTTACCTTGAGTTTGTGGACTGAGGTCGGTAGCTCCAACTGATGCCCTGAGCAGCCACGTAGAACTGCCTTAGCTGTACCGCTTCTGTCCCTTGTCTCCCCCAGCCTACCCAGCTGGTGCCCAAGACCACCAGGACCCAGAGGCGTGGGCAGCGTGGGAACATGCTTCCTTTCCTGCTCCCGCTGGCTGCCACCACCCCAGGACCTGGGCAGCCGCTCGTCGAGCTGCTGACTAACCCCGCTCCTGGCTGTCCCAGCTGCAATGAGCTCTGAAGGCTGTGGGTGGCAGCGTCCTTCTCCCCTGCGGTTCTTGCAAACTGCAGCGGCAGCCTCTGGCTCTCCCTCCCTCCCCTTTTTCTGGGGCTTTTCCTGGCAGGGGCTTGGTGAGATCACAGCTCCCAGCGACCAGAGGTATTAGGGAGAGCAACCAAACTAGTGACTGTTTTACTACAGGTGAAGAAGGGGCAGAGATCAGAGGCTCTAGCAGGCGGGGCAATGCCCAGGGATTCATGAGCCGGACAAAGCTGTATCCCTCCATTTCCACCGGCCAACAGCACGGAAGCAGTGGTCCCTTACCACTGACCTGAGGCCTGCCTGGGTCCAAGCTCACACTTGGAGAACCTTCTGTGCAGTGCAGTGGTACCCAACCACCTTAAGCAGATGGCTCGCCTTTTGATCTGAGGAAAAGAGTATTGTGCCCTGTTACCCGGCACTGAAACACTATTTTCAAGTGGTGGAGGAGAAGGGAACAAACACAAGGACAAGGCCTACTGCTCTGAATCGCCTTCCTGGTCTCTATCAAGGCACAGTTCTGCCTTGATAAGGGCCTGTAGCTAGCTAAGCTGCAGCATAGCAGAGGGCTTAAAGAACTTGGCTGAAAAAAAAATCAGTTGTCCAGTTTTCAGTTTCACTTACTAGCTGTGTTGTCTTGGGCAAGTTACTGTACCTCTCTGTTCAGTTTTGGTATCTGTGAAATAAGGATGACAATAATGGTTTTTCCTGATAGGGTATGTTGGGAGGACAAAATGCTACTGTAAACTATAGTTCCAGCACTTAGCACACAGCGGCTAGGCGCAGTGGCTCACGCCTGTAATCCCAGCACTTTGGGAGGCCAAGGAGAGTGAATCACCTGAGGTCAGGAGCTCAAGACCAGCCTGGTCAACATGGTGAAACCCTGTCTCTACTAAAAATACAAAAAAATTAGCCAGGAGTTGTGATGGACACCTGTAATCCCACCTACTCAAGAGATTGAGGCAAGAGAATTGCTTGAACCCGGAAAGTGGAGGTTGCAGTGAGCTGATAACGTGCCATCTTACTCCAGCCTAGGCTACAAGAACAAAACTCCATCAAAAAAAAAAAAAGAAAGAAAGAAGAGAGAGAGAGAGAGAGAAAGAAAGAAAGAAAGAAAGAAAGAAAGAAAGAAAGAAAGAAAGAAAGAAAGAAAGAAAGAAAGAAAGGAAGGAAGGAAGGAAGGAAGGAAGGAAGGAAGGAAGGAAGGAAGGAAGGAAGGTCACAAATTTGTTACTATGATCATATTTTCCTGTCTCTAGGACCCCTTGTATTCTTGTATTTCTTGAAGGATCTAGTTGTTTCACACCACCTTAAATCTTACTTTGCTGTTGATAGAGAATCTGAGAATTATATCGTCTGAGACATCATAATGACTTGTCCTGGGTTCCCTGTATCTGCATGGCTCCAAGTTTCTGTCATGCTTTATGCATTCAGTACATTCAATAAATTGTAATCTGGCACCTCACATGAGGTCTCTGTTAATGATATCAGGCTCATCAACACCCTTTTCCCCCCTCCCCACTCCCCTCAGTGTTCTGTCTTTCCTCCTGTGCTGATATTATTCTACCAACTTAGAATGCCCATTTTCTTCCTCTTTGCTGGGTCATTCTTTACAGTGCAGGGTTCTGCCTGTCTGCCAGATTCTGGGCTCCAATGGACTTTTCCATTTTATGAACTATTATAACACTATTCAAATTGTATAATCATGTTAATTACCTTTGGTTATTCCATGTAGGTATCTATTGTCTCCCTGACTGAACAGTTGCTTACACTTCTTTATCTACAATGTTATCAGTGTCTCCCAAAGTTGGTAGCCCATCAGAATTCCCAGGGGAACTTTTACAAAATGTAGATTCTGACTCAGGAAATAGGGCTGAGACCAAAGTCCTAGAACATCTAGCCTATTGATTGACGTATAAATAAGCAGTCAGAGATGCTACTGGCAGTGTATCAGAGAAACGTTTTGAAAGCACTGTGTCCCTAAATCCCAAGGTTACTACCAACATTGTTGCAACATTACTGTAACCTTTGAGTAGGCTGCTTTTTTTACTTGGATGTTTGCTTATGTATATACAGTGTACATGACATGTTTATTGCATTACATTTTACAGAGACAAGATGACTACTATAATGTTTGACTCTCTATTTTTTTTAACATCAGTTCCAGATAAACACTGTATAACTTTCAATGACCTATTTATTAAACATGGTATTTAAAGAACATGTAAAACACATTTGTTCTTCCCTGTAAAACATTAAGGTGATGAAGAATTTTTCCATTTCTCTGATTTTCTGAGTGGAGGGTGTGTGATACAAATTTGCTGGCTGACTGAATGGTTGAGGTGTAAATAGGACAACCATAATTATGTGTTATTACACTGATGGCAAACAATGTGATATACACAGACCTTACTGAACGAACCATCAAATAGAGGAACATGGCATTTGGGGAAAATTCTTTTAATTATACATTTGAATATTGGTCTTTGGGTCCTTTGAGGGACAGTGACTGGTGGCAGGAAGGTCCACAGTGACATGTATCCTCCTGGCTTGATTCTTGGCCTTCTGCAGCCTCTGGTGCCATCCAGAGGACTCTCTGGAAGCCTCAGAGCAGAGGTCCAAGAGGCCTCATCAACAGCAACCACTGGAGACTCCAGAAGATGCTACAGGAATTGCTTCCAGTTAGAGATGCCACCTGCTTTCCAACAAAGTAGAGAAAGCCTTCCTTCAATCAAAAAATAAAGAGGTATTTTTGTTTCTCCACAGTCTGGTCTTCTTGTGAGTCAGATGCTCCAGTCTCTTTGGTTCACTGGTAGTTCAAGTGACAGGTGAGTCAAAGCACAGAGACTACTGCAGAAACTTTTGCTCCTGGCTTCTGTGGCTTGTATCACAGGAAGAGAAGAGGTGGGGCAGGAAGGGGTGGTAGGTGGAGAATTTGAGATTGTACCACAATCCCAAACTCAGGAAACAGGGTTGGTCCACAGCTGGTCCAACAGGCTGGTCCAGAGCTAATCTAAGGTAATTCCATGTCTTTGATTCACAGATGTTTATGGAAAACTGCAGCAAATGCGTTATAGTTAAGTCAAGTCTAGCAGGAAACTTGATGTTCACAACAGGATCATATGGAGCTGAATGAGGTGACCAGGAAAAGGACAGGTCTCTGAAAATGAGACCAAAGAAATTTAAATAATTATCATTTCCTTAAAAAAAAAAGGAAAGAAAAAAATTGCTCATCATATCTACCCCCTGAGGCTCAGCATAATCTTTTCTTTCTAGATTTTGAATATTCTGCCATTCAGGTTTTTTGTAGGACACTCAGCTACCCACTGAATTTTTTGGGAGAGGGATAGCATCAGATTATTTTTGTTTTTCCAGCAGGTAGCATAGGGAATTGACTGCATAACAGTTCGAAAACATTTTTCAGCAGTCTTGACTTCTGCTTTGCAGGAAAGGTCACGTCATCACCACCTAGCAGCCAATCATGGAAATGTCACACATCCTGAAATAAGTTATGTCTTGTTAGGACATTTCTGTCCTGGAGGAAATGGAAATCCTTATGTGAACTCTATTGTCATTCCGTTGTCATACCTGTGTCCTACTGCCAACACAATTTCCTTCATGCCTGAAAATCTAATACATACTTAAAACGTAATACATGATTACATAAAGAAAAGTTAAGCTTTATAGTCTTCCTTTTTCCCTATTGTTCTATTTCCTTCAAAAATATCTTCATAGGTATGTTACCTTAAGAACTTGGGTCAAATGCAGCATTTGTAAAAACTCCATATGTTCCTAGGTGGCTAAAAAACAGAAACAAAAGGGTGACCACCATATACTGCTTAGTTGTCAACAACACAGTCCAACCCATAGTATTTCCAGAAACCATAAATTACCATCCACCCCTGGAATTCTGCTTTAGAAAGGAAAGAAAAATAAAGGCCAAAGAAATATTCGATATCCCACTTAACAGCTCTGGGTAATTTACATTGTATTTTGTACCCGCACTAGGTTATTGTTGATGTTTTACCTACTGAATACCTGTTATACCCTCTAAGGCGCTGCAACCTCTTCTAGGTGAGAAGAAGTAGTTACAAAATTCTTGGCATTAACACTTGATAATCTAACGGTAGTTTATGATAATCTAACGGTAGTTTTCAAAAGGGGCAGTGTGCCCCCTAGGGGTGTTTTTTGATTTTTATAACCATCAAGAGTTCTACTGATACTGAGTAGGTATGGGGCAAGGGTGCTGGATGTCTGTGACAATAGGGTTCATATAAGGATTTCTATTTCCTCCAGGATGGAAATGTCTTTAAAAGATATCCAGCACCCCTGCCTCCTGCCCACTCAATGTCAGTAGAGTTCTTGTTCGTTGCAAAAATCAAAAGAAATACCCTTGGAGGCATACTGTCCCTTTTTGAAAACTCTTGCTAGATTATAAACAGCAGGGGGTACAGGACACAAAAGAATTGTCCAACACCCCACATAACTTTGGAATATCTGCTCAATATTTATACAGGTTAAAAATCTCTGAGCCTGGAACGCAAGCGCTTTACATGTAAATATTAAGCATTTTTTGCATCTTTAAAAAGTGTAATTGCCATATGAATCAAGGGACAATTATCACAGGTTTTAGGACTCTTTACCAGAGTTGTTCACCATTTTGAAAAATTAGATTAGTGTTGGCCACAGCTCTAATGCTCTTTGAGTCACTAATACAACATTCCCCCATCAGTCCACCTGCATGGCTGCTGCTTTCCTAGTGATTCTGCTGGAAGGTGCATGTTTCTGATGACCTCATTGCATCTGCTGGCACAGCGCCTAAGTTTTTGCATCGTGTTTTTATTATAAATTACTTTTCGTTTTATTTCTACTTTATGTTATAATGAGAATATTTGTTATCTGTGTATTTTACTTCAGAATAGAAAAGAAGACATTTTAAAAGACATTGTAAAAAGGAGGCAGGCATTGCATGTAATCATTCTGACATATTACAGTGAATTATAAAGTCAAGCTAGCAAAATTTACTCAATCATAAAACATTTCTACCTTACCTGTGAGGATTCAAGGGGCATTTCCCATCATCTAAAATAAGCGAGAAGATAAGAATGATTGATTAAAAAAAAAAAAAAACAAGATGAAAGAGAGGGTCATTAAGGATAGAAATTATTGGGGAAAACCAGTAGACTGATTTTCAGGTCGGCTCATTAAAAGGGGAATATTGGAAACAGTCTCTCCCTGAAAGGTAGAAAGTGTTTTAGGCTAAATTGAACATTTGACAATATTTAACTCCAGAGTCCTCTCACTTTCTTCCTCCTTCCTTTCAGTATATACATAACTCAATTTCTTTTCAGGGCATCTTGTGTCACTTGCCCTCAGCCCTTAGCTGGGCAAGCTAATCACATACATAAATCCAAACCAACAGAACAGTGGATGTTTTTCCTCCTAGGTAGCATATTTTTATCCAAATGACAGACTCTCATAGTTGAATTTTCAGCTATGGCTGCAGCATTTCCCTCTTATTTGGCCATAGAAAACTTGAAAGCCTAAAATCAAATTGGGAGAAGCCCAGGAAAAAAAGCTCCCATCCCCAACAAATGAATGTATTTATTATTAAAAATATTGGAACATGGGTAGCTATTTGTCCTTCTGCACTGTTACAGGGTCCCCTGGAAATGTCTCAAAGTCAAAGAAAGGACTTGGCGGAAACATCAAGATTAGAGTGATTCCTACATGATCATAGAGATTAAGGTCTAGGAGCTCTTGCCTCTGCCTTCTGGGTTCTGGGTTTGGTTGAGCAAGCACACATTTTGCATGGAGGGATTCACTGTAGCTCTCAGTACATCTCTTTGGTACTGAAGCAGAGTATTGACCTTTGTCTATTGTCTTGGCCACTCACAGGAGAATATACGAAGATTTGGAAAAACAGCCTCAATGTTTTGGTAGCATTGTAAATGGAGAAAGAATAAGAGTAGGGAACACGTGGTTTTGCCTCTGAGCAGTTAAGAATAGGTGTTGAGACCTATGTCAATAATAGAGAAATTCAATGAGAACTCTCTCAGATTTTTTCACATAGCCACTTTCAATTACCTTGATTTGAGCACTAATGGTCTCTCTGATGCCCCTAGTTACTTTCTATGAGGAGTGATGAAGAAGAGCCCCATTAGGTTATAAACAAAACTTTATGAACTTATACGCAGGCTAAGTGGAGAAGATTGAGAAAGGATGTTTTAAACCTTAAGAGATGGGATGTTCCCATCTTTAATTCCTAGACTAAAGTTATTTTTCTGATGAACAATCTGATGAACACAGCTTCCCTTACAGAGAGTTTTCATCTATTTGGTCTTCTCTGTTTAAATCCTGCATCAACTTCACAAGTTTTCAGGAGAAAAAGTAAATCTCTTCGCTTATCACACCAGGTCACCAATACAGGGGCAGCTTCTTCTGCCCCTAACTTCATCTCCTGCCTCCTCCATAATCCCCTTTTGATTCAGATGCACTTAACTGTGAAACATACCATCTTCTCAATGATTTCACACTTTCATGTCTTTCTACATGCCATTTTCTCTAATGGAACTCTACTTCCATTTTCCCCTGGGCTAAATGCCACTCATTCTTCAAAGTTAAGCTTGAAAAAGGCTTTCTCACCTGACAGTCTGGTTAAGGCATCCCTAGTCTATGTTCTAATAATACCTAGGTTGTATTTGTGTCCTAACACACTTACCACACTTCACTACCAGCATTGATTTCACCTGTCTCCCCTCCTGGATTATTCCTTCCTTAATATCAGAAACCATCATTATGAGTCTCACACTCTTAACAGAGATGATGAATAAATGACTGCTACATGAAGAAATGAGTGAAGTAAGGAAGCATAACACCTTTCTAATTAGTTTTAGTGATAGCCTAGGGTACTTAGACCAGAGGCCCCAAATGCCAAACTGCAAAGTAACCTCATTTGAATTTTGGGAGAGGGGTTTTGAAAAATTCAGATTTCTGCAGCCACTCCCAAGTCTCCCCATAGAAGGATCTATATTTTTATGAAGTTCCCTAGGTGATTCTAATGGACAGTCAGTTCTCAAGATCACTTATCTTGGCTTTTTTTTTTTCTTTTAATGCAAATATTTTCCAACATGAACTACTGAAGTTGTGGTTCTACTTCCCCACCCTAAATTATGTGAAAGAAAAAAGCAAAGAGAAGACTCTTTCCTATTTACCTTTTTGTCTGAAACGCTTTCTTAGCAAAGCCAGGAGCGTCCCACCCATTATCAGACCTGTTGTAGAAGCCACCGCTCCACCAAAGTAAGTCAGGGCTTCCTGAATAGTCAGTGGTCCTGCTGCAAAACAAACACACACACATGCAAGACATAAGAAGCGTATTATGCAAACGAATAATCTTTCTCTCTCAGAAAGTTTCCGAGAACTCTAAGATGTGAGATCAAGTGGGATCACCAAAGGTCCTGGCAATGCTGACAAGCTAACATGAAAGAAGATCTGGAATTCATAAATCCACTGTAACAAAATGGGAAGTGGGGCCTTATTTTATTCCAAGGCTTAAATATAAACCATAATATCCAAAGGAATCAGGGTGAGGACCCAATAAAAGAAATTGTAGACACAAGAAGCCTATACATGTAAGTTTGGGCAAATAAAATAAAAGTGGGGCCTTATTGTATTCCTAAGGCTTAAATATAAACTGTAATTTCCAAGAAAATTAAGGTAAGGACCCAGTAAAATAAACTGTAAACATAAGAAGCCTACACATGTAAGTTTAGGCAAATAAAATAAACTGTGGGTAATTTTTTTGGCAAAGATTCAGTTATGTAACAAAAGGTAGTCAGGACAAGCCATGAGGGGAAAAAATAAGGGGCTGAAATACAAGCCCAAATAAGTTTTTGCAAACAGATAGAACTTAATTGAGGAAGATCTGCTAGGGCATTTTTAGTGTTAAGTGGTAAGCAAAGGTCTTCTGATATAATAAATTAGAAATCTGCATGAAATAACTCCCAGTTTAAAACATTTTGAAACTTCAAGGTCTGTTAAACAGAGAGTATAATGAAGGGAAAGGTTTCACTTCACAAATTGAACACTGACAAGGAGGGGTGATTACCTGCAGTCACTGGATTGAATTTCCACCACTCTATAAGGTAAGGAGATTCTGCCTGATTCATTGTGAAAAACTTATTAAGCAGGGGGAAACCCAGTGATGGAAAGCAAGACCACTATGAGAAAGACACAGAAGAAACACTGATTTTGTTATTTTCCACATCAAAGTGACTTCTTAACCCACATGAAAATTGTACCTTGGCAGGTTGGCATAGTAGTTGACCAATGGCCATTCTCCTGGCATGCTGTTTGTGCTGAGCCATTAAGTAACTGGCCCTCTAGACAATCGAAAGAGCAGATTGATCCATAACTGAAGTTTCCCCAGAGGTTGGAGCAGTTCATCACTATTGGCTTATTAACATGTAGTTCTGGGCATTTCACAGCTGCAGAAAAGAAAGAATGGAAGAGAAACAACATGTGGATTGGAGGTGAAAGAGATTATAGTTTATTTTGTAACCTAACAGTGCCAATAAATGAGGCAGAATGTAAAAGGTCAGAAAGGATATGAGCCACTTCCAATATTCACAGTAGCTCTTCTAACAGCACATACATGAAAATATTCTCCCAAAGGGTGATAGCCAAAGAACCAAGATGGAAAGATGGATACGTAGTAGCATCTGATAAATACCTGCTAATGCATTGATAAATCTTGCCTCCAAATATACTATTTACAAAATTTTGGTTCTTAAAAATACTACTGGTCTAAATGTTGTTACTACATTTGCGATCAACTGGCATGTCAGTATATGTTTATTAAAATACTTAATAAGTGTTCAGCATATCTGGACACTGGAAGTTTGAAAGAAGTAGACTGTCATCCTCCTTAAACTACATTTTCAGGGAACTTCAGGTTATTCTTTCTAATTTATGGATAGGAAATTAAAGGTCAGGAAATTAGATTTAATTCAAATAAATGTTATTGATCAGTAGTGTCATTTGCAAAGCACCGTGCTATGTTTTTTGGGGGATACAAAAATGAAAGAAACATAGGTCTCAATGCTTTATGTATAGGGTGATAGCTCTTCAGGAAATATCACGTATGGCTTAATTTTTATTTAGGTTCAAATTATTATGAAACTATGGAATGTTTATATAGTCATGTAATATGCAACTTTTAATTTACCAATTTCTATAGCAGGTTTTACATTTAATATACCTATTTTTCTAACACATCTCGGACATCTGCAAATGTTTCTTCAAGTCTCTGAGTACTTGCGTATTAGCTTTAGCTTGTGACATGAGGAAGGGCAGAAGTGATGTGCCTGTGACACATTACTTTTAATTGGGATTGGTGTGGATTTCACAGGGGAGATGACACTTGGAAGTAGTGGTTGTGGTTGGGTGAGACTTCAACATACAGGCACAATGGCTAGCTTGAGTACTTGCAGGAAGGCAGCATCAGAATTGCCTTCTCCTTTTCATCTTACCTCTGCATGTTGGAGTTACTGCTGTCCATTGTCCTGAAGGTCTGCAACTGAGAATGCTGTCTCCTATGAGTGTGAATCCAGCATTGCAGCCAAAGTAACAGGTGGTATTAAAACCAAAGGTTCCCGGATGATGCCTACAGTGCATGGTTCCCTGCCCAGGTGTGGTGAGGGCTGGGCATTGCACCCCTGGACTAGGAAGTGATGCTATGCCTGTTGTGAGAAAACGTTTCAATTCAGAGAGCTCCCAATTAAAAGAAGTGTAAAGAGTTAAGGCTAATCTGGAATAACTGCTTTTCACTCCCTTCATAACAAGGGAGGTTCTAGCAAGAGCTACTAGAGAAGTTTAGAAAAACTATAAGTGTCAGATATAGAAAACCAGATGAGGAAAATTATTAAAAAGCATCCTTGAGGAGATCATTCTCCTGGCCAAGAGAAGAAATTAGGGGAGTCATTGTTATTGCTATTTTAAAAAGAAGCAAAAAATGGTACAGAAATGTAAGAAATTCAGCAGAAAGCCAAATATACATGGGCCAACTGCCTGCCCAACCCTGCTTTACTGGGAAGTGGTACTGTTCTCTCACTAAAGGTCAATGTGAAAGTTGAAATTTACTGCAATGATTGCTTTCTATCTCAAACTATTTCTTCCATTTGAATGATCCCACCAGCTTTGTCATTAACTTGCCATGTGGCAGGAAGATGATGATTGACCTTTCTGGGCCTCAATTCCTAAATTTGAAAAACTGGACCAGTGACTCTACCCCAGGATTATCTCTGTTTCTCTCAGCAATAAATTAATGGAGACCATTCAGTTCGCTCAACAAAGCTCTTTCAAAAAAAGAAGCCATGAAACAAAATTCCTGCTTAAGAATCAATGTATCTTTTATTCACAAACATAAAAATATCCTGTCACTCCTTAGACGTTTTAAAATCCTTCAGCTGTTTGCTAAATCCAAATAGTGGTAATATGTACAATTATCTAGTTCACATATAAGAACTAGATAATTGTTTGTTGTTGTGGAATAAATTTCCAAAAGTAGAACTGTCTCAGTAAGTACATATTATTACCTTTGCAGGCTGGTGGAGTAGCTGACCATCTTCCAGAAGTTGTGCATTTCACATTATTGGGCCCCTCCAGCTTAAAGCCCTTGTTACAAGAGAAATGGCAGGTGGAGCCAACATTGAATCCTCCATGAGTGTCAGAACAATCCAGGCTGCCCTGCTCTGGGGCGAAGAGTTCTGGGCACTTGATGGCTAGAGTATCAAATTAAGAATGTCACAATCTCCAAGTTTATTCAGAAGTTCTGTGTTACACAAAGTTCATTACTTATATATTCAAAAAATATTTATTGAGCACCTATATTCCAGATGTTCTGCTAGGCAGCAGCATTCCACAACATATACTGTAGGTCATTTGTTGCAAAGGGCAGTGGGAGGATGGTGAGCTTACAGAGAGGAGTATAGGTACAAGTCATGAAGACAAGGAAGTCAAACATTTAGGCAGCAATACTCAAGAACTTACAGTGTTACCCTGTGTTCTCTACACCCTCTGCTTCAGAGACTTTGTAGCCTGCCGCAGCTCCCACTATCTTATTTGAATGGGTGCAATCTAGGATTTCATTTCCATCCTTCCTCTTGCCTGAGACTACTTACTCCCATATATCATGCCATCTCCTCAAATTCAACACACCTAAAACTGCAATGATTGCTTTCTGCCTCGAACTATTTCTTCCATTTGAATCTCCTCGCTAATTCTTTTTTGGTTTATTTTGTTATTGTATTTTAATACAGGAAAGCTCAAAACCTCCTGGTCAAGATTGATTAGTTTCTGGGAATTCCCTGAAGTGACTTTGTGTGTTATTGCTTCTGGTTCTTGGCTCACATTCCCCTGAGAATTTTTCCATTTTCATGGGATAAAATCCCACTAATCTTCCAGGATTTAACTCGTAACCTCTCTGAAGACTCTGCTGATCACCACAGCCTGAACTCTTCTCCTCTGAATTATTCAGCTTTTTGTCTGAACTCATGTGCTGCCATGTCACATGTCATACTCTCCCTCTTCTACTGGATGGAAAGTGTCTAAAACCCAAGAATCATTCATCCTTGAGCCTTCCATAATTCCCATCTCAGGATCTCAAGAGGCAGTGCTCAGTAACCACTTGCCAAGTGAATGAATAAATGAAATTAAATTTTAATTCACAATTTCCCCCCAAAAGTATTTTTACAAATTATTGCAGTTACGTATTTTCTTAGCATTATTCCTTTCTCCCCATTAGATTCTCTAACATAAGACTATTATTTATCAGTAAATGTTGGGTTATTGACAAATGAAGTGACTATTCTTTCTTTAAATCTAAGGCTATTCTGAACACAATACCTTGGTCAGATAAGTCTCATTTACTTAGCTAGTTTGATTTTTATAAACCTCTTCAAGACCTATGTGCTCCCTCATGGAAAACTGATGTACAGTATTTGGCTTTTATATACTGGTCCATGTACTTTTCATTGAAGGATTATGGATTCTTATTGCATGAATCCATTCAAATAGCCAAAGTAACATAGTGAATTTCAGTTCAGTACTCTCAAATCATTGAGTAATTAACAACTTCATATCTGACATGTCAAGTCAATTTACTAAACATTTTTGAAACATGTCTATTGATGTAAGTCCTAGACATGAAGTCTCTGTGAACGTTTTCACAAAAATAGGTTTCTCATAATCTCCCAGAATTACAACTTTAAACTGAAGAATATGTATAATGTCAGCTGCAGGAAAGCAGGGACCTTGTCAGTTCTTGAAACACTGTATCCCAGAGAACAGGTCCTGACACATAGGAGGGGTTCTACAAATACTTATGAAATGAATGAATACAGTAATGAATACAATTTAATTTAAATGCATTCTAAAAGGTATTCCTACCTGGTTTGAAAAGAAACAAGAGGAATTACTGTTTTTAAAAATTCACTGAAGGGGGCCCTAGTATAAAATGAGAATTACTACAGCATTAAATTCTTTTGGGGGATAGTGCTTTAGTTTCAGTCTTGTCAGTGATGCTCAGCCAAGGTTACATATCCAGACTTTTGTATTTATAAAAGTCTCTGAGCCCTCTTAGGTAAAAATTAACCTTGACCCTTACATACTAAGAATTTGGCTCTGGATCATGTAAAGAAGCGGTTTTGCCTGTTTGAGGGGCAGCCTAGATGAGTTACATGGAAGCCTAACCCAGGTCCGGCATATGGTGGGCACTCAGCAAACATGGGGTGAATGACATTTGTGGAGTTATCAAGGATGCTACTGGAATGGAGATTAGTGCAGATGCAGAGGAAAAGAGTTATAACCAGGAATGACCTTTATGCATAACTTTGAGAAGTGGTCATATTCTTGAGCCTACTCTAAAACTTTGGCAAAAAAAAAAAAAAAAAACTCCTGAGTAATTACAAAAATAGAAAACAGATAAGGGCTGCATTTATTGCATGCTTAATGCTCGATTTTCACTGACTACCAAGGCAGTTCTATTACATATGGGTATTCATTGGTGTTTTCCTATAGTCCATCAAGTAGGTATACATGATTGTATCTGAATTCATAAACATATTGATTTATATTATTTCAAATAGATTTAGTAAATTCTCTATTTCCTTTTATTATATCATTTTTCTTGAGTTTGATAGAGTTTTCTCAATAATTTTCTGGAAAGAAGATATAGTATAAATAATAAATGTAACTGAGTTGAATATTGTAAACTCAAACTTTGGAAATAAAACTAGGGGCCGAGACGGGCGGGTCACGAGGTCAGGAGATTGAGACCATCCTGGCTAACACAGTGAAACCCCGTCTCTACTAAAAAATACAAAAAAACTAGCCGGGCGAGGTGGCAGGCGCCTATAGTCCCAGCTACTCGGGAGGCTGAGGCAATCCGGCCACTGCACTCCAGCCTAGGCCACAGAGCAAGCCTCTGTCTCAAAAAAAAAAAAAAAAAGAAAGAACTAAAACTAGGAAGCCCCATGGAGTCAGAGAAATGTTGGGGGAATGAAGAAAAAATGGAGATGTCAGCTGGGCCAGAGTTTTAGGGGGCACCAGTTCACCATATTTTAGGACATGACTAAGCAGGCATAAGGCAGAAGAGCAGAGCTGAGGTTGGGACTTGGGACCAGGACCCCTCCCCACACAGTGAAAACAGACATTAGGAGTTCAACAGCCAAACATGGTCACCAGAGGGTCCATGACAGACAGTGTGAAGGGATTAGGAATTCAGCAGTCTGTATCATGAAAGTGGTCCAACAGGCAGGGACAGGAGGGATACAGAAACTGTGTACAAGCAATTCGTCATGCAGGTGGCATCATCAGAGTTGGTACAAGAACCTCAAGCACTGCTTAGGCTCATGAAAAGGGCTTCAGGTCCTGAAGGGCAAAGGCAGAGGCAAGGCTGAAAAATAATCGACCCTCTGGATCCAAGGGTTTTGCATCTATGGATTCAACTCATCGTGTATCAAAAACATTCAGAAAAAGATAAATTCTATAAAGTTCCAAAAAGCAAAACTTGAATTTGCCATGTGCTGAGTATGTTGAATCCATGCCGAAGAAGTGATGTGTAGGCTTTGCATCGGGTGTTATAAGTAATCTAGAGATGATTTAAAAGTATAAAGGAGAATGTATGTAGGTTGTATGCAAATATGCCATTTTATATAAGTGACTTGAGCATCTGAGGAGTCTGGTATCTGCAGGGGGTCCTGGAATCAATTCCCCCTGCAGATACTAAGGAACAACGAGGCAGAGGCCACATCCCAGAGGGCCTAGGGAACTGGTGTTCTAACTAAAGTGGAACTCTCTGTAGAACCATCCCCCAAAATGAAATCTCACATTGCACTCTGAAGAGACAGCTTGAGAACTCCACCTGCCACACTGCCTCTGCTTACTTGGAGGCCTCTGAGTCCATCTGATGTATCCTAGAACTCTGCAAAACACTCTGTGAAAATTGGGGTTCTAGGGGGCAGTGTTGAGGGTTAAAAATTAATGGATTCAGGCATATAGGAAAATAAGAGGAACTGTTTGCCTAAATTTAGAGCATAAATTTGGAGAATGAAGTAGAAACACAAGTGCAAAAACCAGGGCTCAAGATCAGGATCAGTCAAGGTTGATAATTCCTAGGGCCATACTGGGTTAAAGCTGCTGTTCATGGTCAGGGTTGGGTCTTGACAGCGAGTGGGGACTGGGCCCACAAGGTGGGAGGCAAATGCCTCCTCCTGCAGAGAAAAGGGGCTGGAAAGGAGTGAGGGGGAAGCAAGGGCTTTAGAGATTACAGATTTAGCAGCCTTGTTGGTTGCATACGTGATTTAAAATGTGAATGAGATTTTTTAAGGTTTTTTAATATATTCTTTAGCTTTAAAATGTGGGAAAATAGAACTTATGACAAATGTCAATGGAATAAATGAATAAGAGAGTGAGGAATAAATGAATAAGTGAAAAAGCACAAGCCTAAATGCTAACCTCTATGAATGTTCAGGAATAAGGGAACTTGTAGTATATCTTTTTGACAGCAGATGGTAGCATTTTATGTCTTTCACCCTACAGAATTCTTGGCCAGGAAGCTCAAAGATGGTCTTCTCCACTCCTCTCCTTTTGGAATTGAGAAAATGGGAGCCTAAGGGTGTGACAAGACTTTCCTAATGGCACATGACTTGGAGGGAAAGCAATACAAGTCTTTGGAAATTAATCTAGTGCTCATTCCACAGGAAGGAATAAATAATAGTTTAGCTGTTTTCATGTAACACTAATAGATTTCTACCAACATATTGTCTCATCTGATCACCAGGCACTGCCATTTCTAAAGTTCATTCAGCGGTTATAGCTGCAATCTGTGGAGTGGAAAAGAGTAAATTCACAAGTGACTTACCCCGGGTTCAGAAGCTCTGCCCTTGGGTGATAGTGTAGGTCAGTGGTCAAAACACTATCCCTATAATCAGACTAGGCCTAGGTTTGCATCCTATCTCCATACTTCTAGCTTTAAGACCTTTGCCAGCTACTTAACCTCTCAAAGCCTCAGTTTCTTCACCTTTAAAATGGGCATAGTAATAACCAACTTAAGGGTTGTTTGTGTGGATTGAATGTGATGATGCTTACGAAATAGGTGGTAGTACATTAAGCAATAATTATTAGCAATTATTGCTGGTCTCATTATTACTAACTCTACACTGAACAATACATTAGAACAATAGTACCTTTTGCAACTAAACAGGAGCTATGAATTAATTAATTCAGTGCACTTCTATTTTAGAACATAAAATATACTAGATACTTTGCCAGCCAGATATCTCAGGGGAATTAAAGACAGATAAGATCTGGCCCCTGCCTTTGAGAATTCCACTAAATTACCAAAGCTTGTATTTGAGTAAATTTTACTGGTAAATCATCAGCTTCAATTCAACAGACATTTTTCACACACACCCATTATTATTCTGCCTAGCTGCTGCAGGGGGTATAAAGATGAAGAAGGCACAGCTCCTGCCTTCAAGAAGCTTATATTCAATATAGAAGTGGAGAGAGGAGGGAAGTGCACACATAGTTATGCTAGGGTTAAATCTCACCCATCCCTGAATAAGGTCTGTGGCTGGGATTTAGTAGTGCTCAGTGGAAGGTGAGTGTAGGAATGAAGAAATGAAGAATGTAGCTGAAGAAGACTCTGTAAGGAAGTAAAACTTTCAGTGACATAATGCTGAGCCTTTTCACTTACTAACAGTGTGACCCTGGATGAGTTATTTAACCTCTTTAACCCTGTGTCTCTTCCTTACCTATAAAATGAGATGATACTGCCTTTCCTCATGTTAGAATTGTGGTAAACAGAAATGCTATAATGACATGAAAGCACTTCCTGAAAGTGTGCAATTTTTTTTTTTTTTTTTTTGAGACGAGTCTCGCTCTGTCACCAGGCTGGAGTGCAGTGGTGCAATCTCAGCTCACTGCAACCTCCACCTTCCGGGTTCAAGCGATTCTCCTGCCTCAGCCTCCCGAGTAGCTGGGACTACAGGCGCGCACCACCACACCCAGCTAATTTTCGTATTTTTAGTAGAAACGGGATTTCACCATGTTGGCCAGGATGTTCTTGAAACTGTGCAATATTTAACTAAAGCTATTAAAATATTATTTAAAGAGAGGGAGAACTTTTTAATCTAGATTACCATTGTTGTGGAGAGTGTTGTTTGCTTCAGCTCAAGAACACTTTTATATAAATCCCTGATGATTCTCCATTCTCTGATGTCATCTTAAAAGCCATAAGAAAGGACAGGCCCACAGCCTACCTTCACACGTTGGTGGGGAGTCTGTCCAGCGCCCCGATCGAGTACAATCCAATCTTTCTGGTCCAGACAAAGAAAATCCCTCATCACAGATGAAGTGACAGGTGGATTTATAACTGGAACTTCCAAGAGGTTGGACACAGGTCATTGTTCCATTCTGAGGGCTTAGCAAAGGTGTGCAGGGAATGGCTATCATGGGCATGGCAGAGGAGAAAAGAAGAGATTCGTTTTATAATTCAGCAACCTGAACTCTGTAACTCTGTGTGTGTGTGCGTATATGTGTGTGTGTGTGTGTGATTAATATGCAACAATGGTAGTTGGCTAAAAGTGATTGTTTGAATTTCATGATGCTTTATCACCAGTTAGAGGTTGCGGAGGTGTAAAATGGCCACAGCTTACAGTTGATTGATTGACATCCTGAAGTGCTCAATCACAGACAGCTTTAGAGGTGACTTTTAAAGGAAGCTGGTGCTCTGTTTGGGAAGATAGTGGTGCAACTCATTTTGGTTGCTTCTAGACAGGAGTGGAAGTGGTTGCTCCCTTGATACCTTCTTCAGAAACACCCCTAATGACCTTTCCAGAAAACAATGACAAGTGAGTAGAAACACAGAAATGGAGGAAAATACTTTCTTCCCCTTTCCCAACTAAGTGGTGGAATCTGGGTCCAAATTTAGCTCTGTTACTTACTAGCAATCTGTTACTATACAATAACTTTTCTGAGCCTCAGTTGCTTTATCTTCTAAATGGGAAAAAGGATAATCCTTGCCAGTAGCAATCCTTAGTTAAAATCGTTAATTAAATCAGATACAAAAATTACACTTAAAATAAAAGAAAAAATCATGGACATATAATAGGTATACAATGTGACTGGCTTTTTGTAAGTGCTAATTTCTACTTCCTCCCAATAGTCTTGTCCTACAGTGGTCAGCCACAAATAACTCTACTTATTCACTTACAAACAGTTAAATTAGCTCTCATGGTTCTTTGCCAAAGTTTATGCACATAGAGTTTGAGGTGCTAGAGGATGTGCTTGGATTGTAGGTCATGCTCTGTAACTTTTGGTAAGTCACTCAACCTCTCTGAACCTCAGTAGCCTCACCTTTAAGATAGGAAGATAACGTTACATAGCTCCCAGGATTTTTACTAGAATCAACAATGAAAACACTGTATGAAATTTTTTTTTTCTTTTAACTTTCATTTTAGGTTCAGGGGTACAGGTACATGTGCAAATGTTAATAGCTGTCAAGATGTTCCTCTGCCAGTGATTGAAACAATAAAGCCTAGATTCAATGTGTCAATGTGTTGACATTAAAAAGTGAAGACTAAGTGAACACATGCTTAGGGTATTTCTCCGTCGCTCGCTATTTGACCTGGTTGAGCAGTGTATGGCTTTATACCAGAGATAGTTGGGGTATGGCTGTCCTAGGGTCATTTTTCAGCCACTGACTTAAACAGCATGAGGTTTCAAGAACACTTTCTATACCTTTCTCTTCCCTTCATTCCTTCCCCTCTCTAGCTACATTCCTTTCAATCTGATCAACTTCTCCACAGATCTGGTTCTTTTCTTCTACTTGAAAAGTATTTCTGTAGTAAGCGCGTATGTGGGGCTGGAGAGGACACAACTCAACAAGCCTATAAACTGCAAGGACTTATGGGGGAAAGGGTGTGGGTGAGGACGCTGGTACCACAGAGCCCATTTCCAGCTTTTTGTGGCTTTGCCTTCTGACAGCAAGGGTAGATGTGGAGGGGTGGGAGGACATTAAAAAGGGAAATTGTCTGATAAGAATTACAACAGTTAGTGGATTGCACACCGCATGGTACCTTCCTGCTCAGCCCACATTTGGGTATTTCACTTGATGTGCACCCGGCAACAAGAGGAGAAAGTTCAGAGTAAACAAAGAACTAAAAGCAGAAGGGAACCGGAAGGTCACAGGAAGCCGCGGTGAGTGGCAACCTCCTTGCTGTGAAACACCCAGAGGCAGGACAGTATGGAGCAATGAACTGTAATCTGTGCCCTGCACCACCCAGGCTTGCCTGGAAGAGTTTCAGTCACTGTGATCACTGTCCTCAGGGATTCCCAGTTCTTCCCACAACTTCCCAAAGTTGTGTGGACTTTGTAATATGTCCAGACTTCAACGTAGCCAGGATGAGCACTTAAGGGGCAAGGTCACAGCCCCACCTTGTTCTCTCCAGACCCAGCTCTGAAGGTGTACCCAACCCTAAGTCTAGGGGCTTACCATCCTCTCTGGTGCCTGGGGATGAAGGACATTCAATTCTGCTGTTTATTTGTTTGTTCATTCATTCATTCATTCATTCATTTACTGTTGACCTAGCTTAACAGTGGGGTGTGTGTGTGTGTGTATGTGTACGTGTTTATGCTTTTGTGTGACCTGAATAGCGAGTGGTTTCCTTTTCATAAAAAATGTGTATCTGCCTGCTTTCACTCAAACGTTGAAAGTCTATACAAAGTGAAAGGTATGGCAAATAATGTAGAACTGTCTAGTCTTTTACCCATTTAACTTGATTGTTAAAATTGTATATACATCATAAAAATATTAATTGCATAGGGGGAAAAGTAGATGGAGAAAATATTGGAAGTATTCATACCAGAAGCCTAACAGTGTCTATTTTAGGGTAGGAGTATTTAAGAGGATATTTTTTTCATTTCTTTATTATATTTCTGCAGATTTTTTATAAATGAAAATCTTACATTTAAAAAGCAGCCTTTTCTACAAAAGTTAACTAAGGAGTTGGATACATTGGGGGGGAAAAGATTGGGGAATATAAAAAATATACATCTATCCTTCCATAGCCACAAACATGGATGACTAGAACCAGTTCCAGTTCATACAAGATGTCGCAACACGGACACAGCACACTGGCTTGTTAAAGAGCAAGTGCAAGCCCGGGCGCGGTGGCTCGCACCTGTAATCCCAGCACTCTGGGAGGCCAAGGCAGGCGGATCACCGGAGCTCAGGAGTTCGAGACCAGCCTAGCCAACATGGTGAAACCGCATCTCTACCAAAAATACAAAAATTAGCTGGGCGTGCTGGCGGGCACCTGTAGTCCCAGCTACTCGGGGGGCTGAGACAGGAGAACTGCTTGAACCCAGAAGGCAGAGGCTGCAGTGGGCCAAGATTGTGCCGTTGCACTCCAGCCTGGGTGACAGAGTGAGACTCCATCTCAAAAAATATATATGTATATAAATATATAAATTTATACATTATATAAATATATATATCAAATACAATGCAGATAGAATATTTATACTGAATCCGCACATTTCTTTCTTCTGAGAATCCTGTAACCTCCAGTACACAGATTAGTTTTTCTCTTTTTTCTATCACTCTTCACCTTATTCTAAGTATATTTCTCCAATTTTATACAGATCTTGGAGTGTTTGCAACTGGGTACTTATAAATTCTGCCCCTCCCATTTTACCGTTATGCCCTGTGGTCCCTAGAAGTGCCAGACTAGGCTTGGGGCAACCACGCTGAAGCAATTTTTTTCCCACTTGGTCTTCTTTCCAGATACCATTTTTGGCCAGGTAAGAAGAGTTCACCTGGTTTGTGACAGGAGCCTTCAGGTCTGGGTAAAGACCCTGACAAAGAGTCAGCAAGGGCCATGCCCTACTGCCTATGGCCAGACATCCTGACACTTGTGTTATCTGCCTAGCCCCCAGAGGCATTTGCATTTGGGATCCTTGGGTTACAGGACAAGACGATGAGAGTATTTATTAATTTTCCAGTCCATTTCAAGGTGGATCTTACATAGTTGTCACCTCTAAAATCCAGCCTTTAAAAATACTGCCTACAATTGATTTCCAAGATGTTAGAAAGAATATATTCTTACCTTGGCATTCTGGAGGAACAGAATTCCAGTTTCCAGTAGCCAAGCACTGTAGCACGCTCGGTCCCACCAGGAGTAAGTCTTCATTGCAGGTGAAGCTGCAGACTGACTGGTACCTAAAGGCACCAAAGGGGTGGGAGCAGTTCACCTGAGCCTCATTTGGAACTGGGAGATACTGGCACTGCAAAGCTAAGGGGTGAGGAAGTAAGGAATAAAGAAACAGTAATACACATGTACTCATTGATTTTTGAGCCATTAACTCTTTCTAGTGTCAAGAACAGGGATTCCTGAATTGGGCTTGTTTAACATAGAAGACAAGAAAAAGTGTCATTTAATTATAATGGCACATGAAGGATTTTAGTAGGAAATGCTAAACCTTTGTTAAGCATCTTGGCAACATGTTTCAATAATTTTTAAGCTATAATGCTTTTGGACCCAAGAATTTATGCTAAGTGTGTAATCACGATGCATACCAAAAAGTCTATTCAGAGATTTTTATGACGACATTATTTGTAAGAGCGGAATATTGAAAACAAACACAAATGCCATTAATTGGGGGTGGAAAATTAATGATGGTGGATCCATGAAAAAAATGTTAAAGGTCACTAAAAATAATACACTTTAACTTGAAAGATAGGAGAGAAGTCTCAATGTATGATGTTAAATAAAGAAGCAGAATAAAAATTGTAATATACACCGTGATCTCAAAGATGTAAAATAAATAACCATATATGAAGAGAGCACATGTATTCCATGCATTGTCTCTTCTCGTCTTTAAAATGGTAGTAATAATTGTAACTACCTCATAGGGTTAGACTGAGATCATGGAAAGTGCTCAATGAACATTAGCTGCTATTATTAGTAGCAGTGGTAATAGTAGCAGCAGTAGTAATAGATAGTAATAATATCATTAAGGCTTTGCATCACATGCAGACCCTGAGTTCAGGGGTGGTAAACATTCAGAAGGCCTATGAGGGGAGTTACTGAGACCACATCTCTGGATACTTAAGAGAATATCCAACTATCTTTACTTGATTAGACATTTACCTTCCTGGAGACAACAATGGCTTGAATAATCCCTTATGATCCCCTTTAAGTGTGTCAAAGAGCTCATTGTGTCTTTTTCTCCCAGATGACATATACAATGCATTCCATAACTCAGACTAGGTCTCAGCATCATGGTGCACAGCCATCTATTCTATTGCCTTCTTATTTTTTTATTTTTTTATTTTTTTGCTTTTCAATTTTTTTATTACAGTAAAATTTACATAGCATGAAATTTACCATTTACCTTGTCACCAACATTAAGTGTACAGCTCAGTGGTATTAAGTACATTCATATTATTGTGCCACCATCACCATTATCCATCTCCAAAACTCTTTTCATCGTCTCAAACTGAAACTCAATATCCATTAAACCACAATTCCCTATTTCCCTCTCCCCCTGAGCCCTTGGCAACCACCATTCTACTTTGTGTCTCTATAGCTTTGACCACTCTAAGTTCCTCATATGAGTGGAATCATACAGTATTCGTCCTTTTGTAATGGCTTATTTCACTTAGCATAATGTCTTCAAGGCTCATTCATGTTTGTGGTATATGTCAGAATTTATTTCCTTTTTAAGGTTGAATAATATTCCATTGTAAGTATGTGGAATACTTTTCACTTATCCATTCATCTATTGATGGGCGTTTTCGTTGCTTCCACATTTTAACTGTTGTGATTAATGCTGCTATGAACATGGGTGCACAAACATCTCTTCAAGACCTGCTTTCAAACCGTTGCCTCATTTTAAAATCAAGGTATACTTAGACCCAGGGGAGTCACATAAATTGCTCAGATATCTCAGTAAATGAAAACACAAAATGTCAATATTACACTTCTGGAACATGACTTTAGTGTGAGGTACTCCTCATAAAAAAATAATAATTCTGTGAACCACCCCACCCCCACATGAGTGCCTTAATATAAGAGCAAACTATTAGAAACCTAACATATTGAAAGAGGATCATTTTGTCAAATCAGACCATAGACATATGATTTATAAGGTAACATATCATCATATTCATTTTCCCTATAAATCTTACAAGAGTTTTAAAGTTGCATTTACACACACTAATTCACAACTACTAGTGAGGCAGGTAGGTAAAGCAGATAACAGTAGCCCAATTTTACAGAAGATACTAAGCCTCAGAGAGTCTAAACCACTAGCTTAAGGACAGGAAGTGACAGGACTGAACTAAACAACTTGTCCATTACCCCTCCTCATTCCATGCTATTCCTCATGCATGATTTCTTCCCCCAAGTCCCATCTTCTTCATTCCAATGCACCCTATATGTGTCAATCAGTGCAACCCTCACCTTGATTATACTATAGTGGACATGTTGTGCCTAAGACTGACTTCGCTCACCATTTCATCTCATCTCTGGTCCCAAGCAGATAGTCCCAAGCACATAGTAGGTTCTCAGTGAATATCTGATAAAGAAAGGCATGCCAGTGCTCAGTGCAGATGCTGATGCCTCTAATGAGCTGAGACACACAGAAAAACGTTACCACCGTTACAGTACCTTGACAGACTGGGGCTGGCGCTGTCCACTGTCCCAAGTTATCACACCGAACTATATCAGCTCCTCTCAGCATGAAACCTTCAGCACAGCGGAAGCTACAGTTGGTATCATACTGAAACGCTCTCAAGGATGGAGAGCAATCCATGCTTCCGTGGACAGGACTCTCCAGCGGCTCACACGAAATAGCTAAGTGGAAAAGATACCTTCTAAAGCCGGGTAATGGAAGGGCTGGGTTCTTCCTCAGAAAAAATTTCTGGATGCTACATCTTTCCTGTCCACATTTTCGGTATGTTCAGAACCCTAAAACCTCCATTTTCCAAAAGAGAGACTGCCTGGAACACCTTCCCATGCTCCTCTTTGCCTGACTCACTCTCGCCTGCCCTTCAGGTCTTGGCTTAGACTTCCCTTTCCTTAGGAAGGCCTCCCTTCCCACCTTAACCAAGGGTAGGAGCCCCTGCAATGTGCTCCCACAGCCTCTGTTCTTGTGCTGTTCATACATGATTGTCATTCTTCCCCATCATACCATGGTCTCCTCGAGGTTGGGCTCAGTCATTCGTAGGTTTATTCTGGAGCTGAGCAGAGTGTTTTGTATATTGAAAGTGCTCATTAAATATTGACATTATCTGTGAAATTGAATCTGAAAAGAGTATATACAGGAAAACGCTGGACTTGTAGGAAAAAGCTGGACTAGCATAGCTTATTGTTGACACTGTTACCTAGTCCTTTGAAATGATCGCGACCAGACTTTGTCTCTAGAACACAGGATGTCATCGTAATCAGACTTCAGTTGCCAAGCGAGTGCAGCCAAAGTGAATTCCTGAGCACAATTAAGCCCTGAGTGACCTCAGTTCTGATAAAGATTGGTTTCCTCATGCTCCTCCTTGATAAAGCATTTTATCTCCAGGCTATTCTTGAGGCTTTTCAAAGTGTAAAGACCACCTCTTTGCTCTGGGCTTTGACCTCTGGTTTTTACAGAATCAGAGCATTTAAGAACCAAAAATCTAGCTGGGCACAGTGGCTCACGTCTGTAATCCCAGCACTTTGAGAGGCTGATGTGAGTGAATCACTTGTGGTCAGGAGTTTGAGACCAACCTGGCCAACATGGTGAAACCCTAGTCTCTATTAAAAATACAAAAATTTGCCTGTAATCCTAGCTACTTGGGAGGCTGAGGCAGGAGAATCGCTTGAACCTGGGAGGCAGAGGTTGCAGTGAGCTGAAATCATACCACTGCACTTCAGCCTGGGTGACAGAGAGATTCTGTCTCAAAAAAGAAAAAAAAAAAAACTCTAGTGCTTCTCTCTTCTCTCTTACCTTATAGGAAAGAAAAGTGAGGTTCAGAAGTGTTAAGTACTAGGTAGTAGCAGGGTTGGGCTTGTAATCTAGGTCTGGGAATTCACTAATCCATCATAAATTTCCTATTCTCCCATTACCACTGTCCGCCTTATAAACTGAAGGTGTGAGGCAATTGCACAGAATTGTTTGGTGGAATTGTGTAATTGCCTGGGATTGTATCACACACTCTTTTTCAATGCAATTTTCCTTCCTTTGCTTCTTTGTCAAAAGCTACCTTCAAAGACTACATAAGGAATCACTCTCTTTTGCCACCTTAGCCACTGCTTCCAACTCCCTCTCAAGTATAGGACATGGTCCTATACCTCGGATATATCAGTAGAGCAGAAGCTCTATGCTAGGTACTTTATACATGCTATTTAATTGTATACTTTTAATTGTATACTATTTAATTGTACTTAATCCTCACAAGCACCTTGCAATTCTCAGCTCCATTTCACAGATGAGAAAACCGTGGTTCCTGGAGGTTGAAGAGCTTGCTCCAGTGCAAGAACTTAGAAGAGATCACCCTGACACTAAGAGCCCTTGGCCTCTCTACCATGCCGTGATTCCTTCTTGGACGGAATGGAGGTTGCTAATGAAAAATCCTACCCTCACAGGTTGGCAAGGGTGCAGACCAGTGTCCAGAGCCAATGCAACGGAGCGTGTCCAAGCCCCTCACTCTGTAGCCGAGCTGGCACTCAAATTTACAGTTGGAGCCATATGCAAAAGCAGCGAGCGGATGAATACAGTCCATGGTTCCTTCGCTGGGGGCTTCCAGGTGCTGACACTGCACAGCTGGAGATAATAACCAAGGATAAAGAGAAAGGTACTGAGAAAGGAGAAAAGGCACAGATAGAGAGCAATAGTGGAACCACCTCTGAAATGGAGGTGGAGCTGGCAAGATGTGAAGGTCAAGAGACCCTAATGATCTTTGTTCAGACTTGGATTACCGGTTCCCAGGGTGACCTGCGTCTGTTAAAAACAAAGATTCCTGCCGGGCGCAGTGGCTCAAGCCTGTAATCCCAGCACTTTGGGAGGCCGAGACGGGAGGATCACGAGGTCAGGAGATCGAGACTATCCTGGCTAACACGGTGAAACCCCATCTCTACTAAAAAAAAAAATACAAAAAAAAAAAAAAAAAAACTAGCCGGGCGAGGTGGCGGGCGCCTGTAGTCCCAGCTACTCGGGAGGCTGAGGCAGGAGAATAGCGGGAACCTGGGAGGCGTAGCTTGTAGTGAGCTGAGATCCGGCCACTGCACTCCAGCCTGGGCGACAGAGCGAGACCCCGTCTAAAAACAAAAAAAAAAACAAAGATTCCTCCAAGCTGTATTCTTAATGTCCTCTATTCCCTATACTTCTATCAACCTGTCTCAGTAGGTCTTCTAGTGTCCACTTACAGATGTAGAGGCCACCCTTTCTGATCTTATGTGGAAACTGTGAATCAGGCCATTCTGAAACTGCCTGTGGTTGTGAGTTTGGGGAAAGAAAGGAATTTTTTTTTTTGCTTTCTCATCTCAGATGAACCCAATCTAGCTGAATGGCAGGTAGGAAGAGAATTAAATTTTGGCAATTCAGGCCAACTTCTCCATAAGCTGGTCAGTTTCATTTATGCACTAAGTGAGGACTGGGTGCAATGGACATTATATATCCCAACTACCTGAAACTCACCTTTACACACTGGGGCTGGGGCTGTCCATACCCCCGAGGCTGTGCATTGCACCACTTCTGGTCCAACTAATGCAAATCCCTCTTCACAACTGAAGCCGCAGCTAGACTGATGCTGGAATGCTTTTGCAGAATGAAGGCAGGTCATGTTTCCTCTTTCAGGAATCTTCAGGGGTGGGCACTGGGCAGCTAAAAACAACCACAGAATAATAGGGTGGATCCTTGGACAAATTTTGTCCATCACCTTGGAAGCCTTCAAATTCTGCAGCAGTCACACCTTCCCAAAGTGGCAGGCAGGGTGATGCACTAGAATGGTTAAATGGTATTTTCAATAGCTGTTTGGAAAGATCTACACACCCTTGTTTTTCATGTAGAGAAGTTAGGTAAAATTATCAAATTAATAATACTTAACCCCTAAGTCCCCATCATTGTACTCTGTTTACTTTACAATTAACAAAGGGAAAGGGGAGGGGTCCTTTTGTAATGTTTTGGCCTAAGAATCAACAATTAAACTGACTAAGTCACTCTACCCGTAAAAAAATACCATGAAAATCGAAATTAATGTTACTCTGGTTGACAGTTAACAGTGATAACCAGAATTTTCCATCTAACATAGATGGTCATTATAGCTCACATTTTTTAATGAAGAAAGCTCATTCCATCCTCTTCTCCCCAAAAATGCTATGTCAGTGAGGATGAAAAGAATAAGGTCTACATACCTAAACACTGCGGAGGCTTATGTGTCCAGATTCCAGAAGCCAAACATTCCAGCTTGCTGGGCCCATTTACTTGGTACCCGTCAGCACAGTGGAAGCTGCACTGCGAGTTAAAAGAGAAGTTTCCCAGAGGGTGGCTGCAGTTCATAAGCACATGTTGAGGGAGCTCAAGTTCTCCACACTCTGTCACTGCAGGAGACAAAATAGTGATTTTTATTTTCCATGTAGAATTAACAGCAATGTCAGGTTTGCTGAAAGCTGTAACTACTTATGTAACCCTCTTAACGCTAATTTTCTAAACTTCTAACCCAAGCTATACATCTCTATTTGGTCTCTTTATGTTGGCTGCGTCTTGGGAAATAGTCATTCTTTCACAAGTTTTTACTTCAAACAAGTAAAATTAGCTTCAAAGTGTTCTGTTGATTTTGCTTCCTTTCCCTTTCCCTTTTCTTTTTTGAGATGTATGACTCAATGTTTTCTCCCAAGAATAAAATGTTTTTACCTAGAGTGTATGTCTAGGGACACTGAGTGGAGAAGACAGATGATAGAGGGGGGTTAGTACCATCCTATTCTCACTGAAGAGCCTTCAGCATGATTTATTTACTTCTTGGCATCATCTCTAGCATAAAACCAAAATAATATCAACAAAATAGAAGCCTCACCATATTCACATTCTGGCCCATAGAATCCAGGGTAACAGGAGCAGGTGTAGTTCCCGATGGTCTCGAGGCACTCTCCTTGTTTGCTGCAGGACATGTCCTGGCAGGAGGCTGTATAGATATGGAAAGGTCAGAGTCATGAACATTCACCGATGAGAGGAAAGGCTGAATTCTCGTTTTAGACTCATCCCTCTCAGGTAGGACCGAGCTAGCCAGACAAGAGAGAACCACAGTATCTTCTGGAGAACCAACATGTTCCCTGTGAAAAGCACTGTAGGGGTCTGCTGGAGTATTGCATGGCTCCCATTTCATACTGGCATTTAGTGTTTCCTAAGGAGGGTATTGCTGTGTGTGGACACAGAGGGACAAATGGAGTCACTGACAGATGTGTGGACAGAGAAACTCTATGTGGTACAAAATGGGTTGTGGTTTTCAAACCAAGTATTGTTTTATTATGGAAGCCCCAATGTCACATATTACAGCATTGAGGTTAGGCACCACATGTGGGGCGTGGGGTCACACAGGTATGATATGAATCCTGGCTATGCTGCCTACTTGCTGTGTGACATTAGGCAAATTACTTCTCTGAGCTCAGGGTTAGGGCCCAGACCCTTTCACCTTTCATTTGCTTCAAATCTATGTCCAGAATCCTGCAGTGGAGAAACGGAGGAGCCAAATGAGATATTTAAGACCTACTCATGGTAAACGACAATCTTATGAGGTGATGTTTCATGAGTCTAAATACAGCAGGCCAAGATAGTGCTGACTATGGCTGACCTGCCATGTCCTCCTCACCAAGACAGTGCCACTCAGGTGACAGAATAGAGAAGGGCCAGGGTTTCTTTCCTGCAAGAAAGTGTTTGAGGGTATGTGCACTTGATGAGAATTAGTACTAGAATTGATACTTTGAAAGCACTGAGAATGTTTTTATTAATGAGGTCATATTTGGGGGCAAGGTCTGTGGCTGAAGTGTTTTCTGGTGATTATTTCCTCTGCTTTAAGCCCTGTCCACATGCTGGTTCACTTGGAAATATATTACAAAAGGATATCCACATGTCATATGTGGATATGCTGTGCTACATGATCTCTATGTTTCCTCTCAATTCTGAGATACTAAAATTCTATAAACCAAGCAAGGCTCTATAGGAAGAAGTTCCTATGGCAGTCAGTGAATTTGGTGAAGCTGCGCTGAGACACTGGAAAGGGTTCAAATAAAGAGAATATGTAGGAGGCAATCACAGCTAAATAGATACAGGTTTGGTCCACATCCTATTCACCTTGCTCCCTGACCTTAACCCCACCAATGTCTTAATGCCTTACAGTAGCAACCCTTGCCTGCCCTATATTCTTGGAGCATACAAATGTTTCCCCAATTATAGCTTCCTTGGGATCTCAGAACTCCAGGGGAAAAAAGAGACAATGCTCTGTATTCTATCCCATATCAGAGTTTCCTGAATAGACAGGTTAGCAATTTGTCTATTCCTTTGGATCTTCAGGGAGAAGATGATTTATTCATGATGATTCAATGAATAAATCTTTTTTTGATAGCGTGCTTTGAGGTCTAATAATTACTGACATGTAGAGAATTATTTCAACAATCAAACTTAATTTCATATTACAGTATATGTATTTCTCATCTCCCACGGATAACTGATGCTTCTCTACATCCTTTACATCTTAGATGGCAAAATGGCATCAATGGGAGTGGCTGCTTAGAGTACTGTGTTGGTGGACATAAAACCCATCTGTGTCAGGTAAAGTTGTACTAATTAGTGATGTCTACCACTGTTGCGAGTTAGAGGAGTGGCATCATTTATGCCAGTAATTTTCAATCTTGTTTCTATCTTGCAATTTTTTTGGTAAGCTTTATTGAGGAAGACTGTCTTGCAGAAATGGATCTTGAAGGCTGGGTGAGAAGCAGAAGTAGTGGCATATGGAAACAGCTAGTGGCAGTCTAGGTTATCTGATAAGAGATAATTCTAGGGAGGCATAGCCCAGAAAGGGGTAGAGAGCTGACTGGGAGAGCAGTAGGATGAGCTAATATCCTGGTAATGTCCATCCTGATCCATGAATATATGGTCATTAATCAATTTATTTATACATAAATGCATTGTTTATAAAGTAGATCTGATTATATGATAATGCATTCATGGATATGTTTTGCCTGCACTAGGAGGCTTGGGGAGAAAACGGGCAATGTAGGTTTTCTTTATTCTATGTATTCTGTTCCATACATGTACTGTTGAGGGCTTCTGAGGGAGAGGTGTTTAAAATCTAAAGAATTCAGAATATGTATGGCAGATGATTTATCGAAGAAGCTTCAGAGTACTTAGAACCTTCCTGCTCAGGGCAGTCCACACCATCCTTAGGCACAGTGTTCATGTGCTACAAAGGACAGAACCGGCCCCTCTAGACAGGGAAGCAACGTCAGAAAGAAGGAATCAGCTCTGACACTAGGCTCATGACTAGAGGAAGACCAAGCTTTCAGGAATGTCTGCTTACTCTGGTAGTGGGAAAGTTGACAATTAAAATACACTCGAAGTATTTCACCTTCAATTATTTCTTTCCTGCCCACTCCCCAGCACTACCCTCCCACCAAAGTTCAATGGATCTAAAGGTATGTTGTTGTTGAAGAGAAACTGTAAAGCATTTATAATCCTTGGTTATATTCTCAAATTGTCTCATAAAAATGTAGAGCAAAGAATGTGGTAGTTTATATGGCTAAAAAACACCAACTTTGGAATCAGCATGAGTGTGAAACTGGCTCCACCATCAAGTAGCTTAGAAACTTGGGCAGATTACTTAATAGCTCTGAGCCTCTCCCTCATCAGCAAAGTAAGAGTAATAGAAAAATGATTGATGGAGTTGTCATGAGGACTAAATGTGACTAATATTAAATGAACAAATGACACATGAACTAAATAAACTAATAACACAATGCCTAAAGCATACTGACATTCAGTAGGCATTAGTTACAGCTGTGTCACCTAGGGGCTGGGCTAAATTCCCTTCCAATTTATACTCTCTCTTATACCAGGCACAGGGGTGAACAAAAGCTCTAGACCTAAAATTTGGGAGACTGGTTTCAGGTCCTCACTTTGCTTCTGTCCTGCTCCACGGCCTTGAGAAACTAAAACCTCATGAGTGTCCTTTTCATCAGTTATAAGATAAGACAGGTGAGCTGGATGATACTAAAATTTCCCTCTAGTTTTAAGCGGCCAGTTTTCTCTAATTCTGATCTTATATTCTTCAAGGTGCTCAATCATGCTGACTGACTAACAATTCACTCCTTGATTTCATGCCCTGCCTTTGTACCTTTGTGTTGACTCAGTGATTACTTTGGCCAACCAGAGAAGGCAGGTTGTTTTAAACAGAAAAGTTTCAAAGTAGAGAAGGCCCTACCTGTGTAACACAATGCGTGCTTTTTCTTCAAGCAGTGCTCATCATTCCACTTGCCAGGGGCTGACGGACTCTTGATGTAGATCTCCACGCAGTCCTCGTTGTTCCTTTTGTTGTTAGGTTCATTATCAGCCCAGTTCTCAGCCTCTTTAGTGAGAGCCTTTTTGGTTCCCACCCAGGTCCATGTCTTATTGCTCTTTCGGATCCCAATCCAGTAGTAGGTGCTGTAGTAGGGTAGGACCTCATTGAGGTAATCAATTTCCTTTTTATTCTGGATGGCCACTAAGTCTGTGTAGCGATTCTGGCAGTATTTGCGGGAAGTATTCCATGAGTATGCTTTTGTGCTGTAATGATAAGTCCACGCTGCCACTTCTTTCTGGTTTGTTAGTTCTAGAGTAAAGGAGAGTGTGTGCCAGGTTAGCAATCCTCACCAAAAAGAAGCTGTGACCCCAAGTATGTCTCTGCATAGTCAGATGTGTTTCTGACCAGAACATGAATACCCAAAACATGACTAGTTTCTGTCTAATGTAGTTGTTGGAAGGAAAAAGAGTGGTTTCCACCTTTCTCTTAAAAGTGTGAATGAAGTCAGAACAGGAAAATGTCATCGTCTGAGGATCCTTGATGTTAAAGATTTGGAATCATAAGATATCAAAGTTGGGAGGGACCCTGGAAGTCATCTAATTTACTCCTGTCCTTTTATAAAAGAAGGAGACATAAGTAATTTGCCCAAGCTTAGATTAAATGACACAAAAATGTCTTAAGGGCAGGCTCTACCTCTTCATGTGGAAAATTACATGCTTTATGACCTGGAGCCTACCAGCTGGTCCAGGCTCATTGCCCACCATATTTACTTTCTCAGAAAAACAGAATTCCTAGTTCCTTGAATTTGCACATGTTCTCCCCACTATCCTGGCTGTTCTCTCTTCTTATGTCTGGTAAACTTTACTCCCCCTACTCTCCATGGCTTTCCCAGATGGACTCTGTGCTCTGTGTTCCTTCCTCCAGGCTCCCACAGCACCTCATCCCTGCCTCCATTGCCCTCATTGCCATGTATGGTAATGTCTGTTTCTATGATACAGCCTACATCTGCCAGGTTGTAAATCTCCAGTGGTGTTTTGTTTTTAGCTTTGGATCCTTAGCACTGAGCCTAGAGTTTAGCACTTAACAGGCCTTCAATAAATATGTGTTGAATGAGTGAAACACAGTAGGTTTGTGGCAGATCCCGGGTAGGAAATCAGATATCCTGATCTGCAGTCTTATAGTCGTTCCATTCTCCTTGGCTGTTTCTCTTTCATTAACTACTCTACTTCCTCCATGTCTGCATACTTACTTATTAACATAGGGCTCAAAACAGCCCTTTTTCACAAGTGTTTTTGATACCAAATGAAATAAAGAATGTGTCTTTCAAAAGTATAAAGGTACTACAGCACTGTTACCATAGCCTGTGGGAGTCCACCCGGGGCAGGAGAGGCCAGTTCCCGCATGAATAGGTGTACAAAGCAAGCAATCAGACCTGGAAATGGGTTTGTTTCCTGTTTATTTAGAGGCTTGTTTCTATCCAACCCTCTTCTCTGCTGCCTGCATGAGAGTTAGTCATGCTTGTACCTCCCTTGCTGACATTTCCAGGACATTGTTTTGCCTTAAAAACTTCATTCTAATATAGCCAGGGCTGCATTATGACTTTCATAGACTTTAGGAAACTTTGCTTATGTAGGCTTCTTCCTCCATGCTAACATATTAAAAATTCTATTTTGCAACTGCACTGGTACAAAGATGAATATATCACTATATATTAAAACATTTTCTTTGACTTCAAATAAAATAATTCTAAAAGACATTCAAACATGTTTGTGGGTCTCTAAAAATTGTGTGGGTCTGTGTCTACTATGCCTAATGGAGACATTGGTCCTGGATATATCATTTTAAGTTCTTTGCTGTGCCCTTTCTACCAATATGATGGTGTTGGATACATTTGTCTTCCAGCAATCGGCACTTGGACAGTTTTCCCATGCCTCAAGTCAACTGGTTACAATCCGTAAAGTTCTCACACATAGCTCTGGGCTCTACCCTAATTACTTGGGGCTAAGGAAAAAGTTAGCATCAAGTTTACCAGAGATCAGGGCACTGAAGCAAAGGAGTCGGGCAATTCCAAAGACCACTCTCCGGAATCCCTGATACAAGATTGCTTTTTGGCAGCTGGCCTGAAACAAGAAGAGAAAACTTTCTTTTAGTATGCATACACCACCAACATGGCCAAAAATAATTCTAGTTAACAATCATTATGTTGAAGTATAATTGTGCCAATTTCCATTGGAATAGTGGTTCAAGCCTTCTGCTTCCTTCTTGCTTCGCATTGCCCTGCTTCTAAGTTCTACCCTGGATGGACACTGTAGCAAGGCTGGGGACAGAGTTCATTTCTTCATTCATTCAACAAATATTTATTGAGTAGCTTGTGCCACCAATATTTGTATTTTAAGATACATTTTTAATGTGTATGGAAGAAAGCTAAACACATTAATATGGCTGTAATTATTATTATAAAACATTATTATAGAAAGTCACATGAGAACTTCCTGACCCACACAAATAATGTCTAACCTATACTTTGAGGTCCAGAGCATCAACTAATTGTGTTATGCTATGCCATCTATTTTGTATTATTGATCTTTGTTTTATCTTCTTGCTTTTTCATTTCTGCACACATCTACAATACTATTCAATGTTTAATATACATATGTATGCATATATTTAATATTTCTTAATATATGCGGTAAACTTATTCCCCTTGGATCTATAGCAACTATTATTTCTCATGAACTCTCTTCTGTTGGGCTTTCATCAAATCTATGAATATTTTTCAAATGTTTTTGGGGCTGGGCGCAGTGGCTCATGCCTGTAATCCCAGCACTTTGGGAGGCTGAGGTGGGTGGATCATGAGGTCAGGAGTTCAAGACCAGCATGGCCAACATAGTGAAACCCTGTCTCTACTAAAAGTACATTTTTTAAAAATTAGCCAGATGTGGTGGTGGGTGCCTGTATTCCCAGCTACTCAGGAGGTGGAGGCAGGAGAATCACTTGAATTGGGGAAGCGGAGGTTGCAGTGAGTGGAGATCACACCACTGCACTCCACCCTGGGCGACAGTGCGAGTCTCCTTCTCAAAAAAAAAAAAAAAAAAAAAAAAAAGTGTCTACTGTACCTATTGGATAAATTGGTCCTGGATATATCAACTGAGTTCTAGTGATGCTTATCTTCTGCGACTTCCTCATGTTGCACTTGAAAATACTGAAGCTTGGAGCATCTAAATAACACATTCAGAATGACAGTAGCAGAGCCTGACTTTGAAACAAGAGCTCTTTCCACTCTACTTCTTTTTTTTTTTTTTTTTTTTTTTTTTAACCTTCATTAACCTCCAGGCTTCTAAATCCATGCTGCATTGCTGTTGTGGATGGTAAAGTGTGTGACATGACTAAGCCTAGCTGCTACATTGGTTCCCCTCCAAAGCCACTCCAACATTACCATCAACATAAAAACAGTGCATTTGCTATGCATTTGCAGTTTTGTCACTATCCCAGTCAGACTGCTACCTAAAATCTCTCCTGTAAAGAAATCCCACATTGCTATAGACCACAATTTGGTCTGTGACAATTTGCTGCGGGGTTATGTATGTGTTCGTGTGTCTAGACCCAGTGATAGATGATGTAGTGTGCATGGAACGGTGTGCAGTTGTGTGCGTGTTCCTGTGTCATGCCCCAGTGACAGATGATGTAGGCTACATGGGATGGTGTGGGGTTTTGTGTGTGCATGTGTCACGCCCCAGTGATGGATGATATAGGGTGCATGGGATGGTGTGGGGTTGTGTGTGTGCGTGTGTGTGTGTGTGTCATGCCCCAGTGATGGATGATGTAGGGTGCATGGGATGGTGTGGGGTTGTGTGTGTATGTACGTGTCATGCCATAGTGATGAATGATGTAGTGTGCATGGGATGGTGTAGGGTTGTGTGTGTGTTCATGTGTCATGCCCAAGCGATGGATGATGTAGGATGCATGGGATGGTGTGCAGTTGTGTGTGTGTGTGTGTCACACCCCAGTGATGGATGATGTAGGGTGCAAGGGATGGTGTGGAGTTGTGTGTATGTGTCATGCCCCAGTGATGGATGATTTAGGGTGCATGGGACTGTGTGGGGTTGTGCATGTGCTCATGTGTATGTCCTGGTGATGAATGATGTAGGGTGCATGCGATGGTGTTGAGTTGTGTGTGTGTGTGTGTGTCACGCCCAGTGATGGGTGATTTAGGGTACATGGGACAGTGTGGGGTTGTGTGTGTATGTGTGTGTCATGCCCAGTGATGAATGATGTAGGGTGCATGGGACAGTGTGGAGTTGTGTGGTGTGTCACGCCCAGTAATGGATGATGTAGGGTGCATGGGACAGTGTGGAGTTGCATATGTGTGTGTGTGTGTGTGTGTCATGCCCAGTGATGGATGATGTATGGTACATGGGAGAGTGTGGGGTTGTGTGTGTGTCACGCCCAGTGATGGATGATGTAGGATGCATGGGACAGTGTGGGGTCGTGTGTGTGCATGTGTTCATGCACTTTTGACTACAGCCTGACCAGATACCAGGGAGAACTCAACTCAAACCAGTTGATGTGCAGAGAGCGGAGTTATGTCATAAGCCTAGAACTTTTCATCTGGGAGCTCCTGAATCTTTACTTTGGTAAATAGGCATATTTTGTGTTCTTATAAGCTGCTGATCTCTGCAGGACCTATGATTAAACACTGAGAGTATCATAACGTTATGATTTATGGTGCTGTTTATTTGCACAAATAGTAGAGTGACAGATAATCCCTTAGTGCGAAACTAACCACACTGCTTTCTCTGAATTGTATTGTGTCACAAGCTGTTCTTACGACCACATTTCAAAGCGCACCATTCCAAATGCTGAAGCAGAAATCTTCAAACCAGGATAAGGCTGACTTCCCAAGGGTTTCACAAGCAAAGAGAATGTTAATTAAATCTATATTCAGATTCTCAACTTTCACGTATATACTTTCTTAAAAACAATTTGCCTAAAATACACCTTTCTCCCACTTTACAAGAGAAACATTATACCTTTTACTAATTTCTTATTTATTCTAGAGCTTTGCCCTTGGATATAAATACATTCGTATGCCAAAAAAGATTCAAAATATTGGTATAGGTATTAAGAATTTGAATATTTTAAATGATATTGCAGCAAATCCTTTTTCAAGTATGGTGATTTCCATTTATTTCCTTTCATCAGCTTTGAGGGAGCACTCAATTAAGTTGTCAGCTTTGACTAAATTTTGGTATTAAATCACTATGTAATTTGGGGCATATAACTTGGAAGGACTTCAAGGAATTGAGACATTGCTACAATAAAACTTCTAATTCCATTTACTTATTCATATGAATGAAGTTTCTCAGTGTTTAAATCCTTGAAAATGAAATATGGGAATAATATTGATGCTAAACTTGTCGGATTTTGTTGATAAATAATATTCATTTATGGATATATGAACAAATACGGGAAAGCTCCTCCTCTCTTAGAGACCAATCTTCAATAGTAATTTAAATACAAAGGTTTAAATTACTTGTCAAAACTTGTAGTATATTTACCTTAGTTTATTTAATTGCGTACTAAAAGTAGCTGTCATGCTAACTCAATAGAATAGAAAAACATTTTAACACATAGAGACGTATGGTTGCAGAAAATTAAAATTTTATATTATATTTTTATTTTGCAAAGAAGTACAATAATCAAGAAAATACTTTAAGCTTAAAATGTGTTGTCTTAGGCTAAAGAATGTAGAAGTGGGATAGAAATAAGTATTCAAGGAGAGAAAAATGAATAACATAAAATTTCTTTTTACTAAGAGTCTGCTTGTGGTCTTTTAAGTGATGAGGATTGCAGATCACGCTAGTACTTTATTCCATTGGATAAACTTTAAGAAATTATGTAACAATTTTATTTTTAAAGTCTAATTTTTGTAATACATTGGAAAATCCAATCTTCTTTTGCTTTTAAAATTTGGGATAAAAAATTGTAGCTTTCCACTTAGAAAGGTGTAAGAGGTAACGTAGTGCTCCAGGATATTTTTGGAGGTATAGGAGCAAAAATATTGCTGCTGAAGAGCACAACTCTGCAGGCTTCATGAAGGGACCTAAGTGCTTGTCTCTGAACCTGGGCTCTGCCTCTACTCAGGCAGATTGCAGGACAAGTGCAACGATTTTAAATTTAGTGGTACTCTTCCTGTGGAAGTGGTTTTCTCCCTGAACAGAGTATTTCTAGGGATTTCCCTGGCTTTGGGGCCAGCTCACAAGAGTGTGTGGGGCGAGGGAGTCGGCGAGTCTCCTGGTCTCCCATCACAGTGGTCAACTCTACCCACTGTTTCCTATTTTGGCTTGTTTGTTTAAACTTTTAAATAAGATGTGGTTTAAACAAAGTTTCCAAAAAGAGATGTTTCCCATTTAACCTGTTTGTTCGTTTGTTTACCCCTTTTTAAAGCAAAATTTCGTCAGCAAATTCTGTACCACACGAGACAAAACAGAAAGTGAGAGAGAGCGAGAGAACTTGTTTTAAATACTTTAAAATTTTAGAGGACTGGTACAGTGCTTCCGATAAGGGCGCAACATCTAAGAAAGGAAAATGCAAGTCAGTGTGCATCCCCTGCTTTAATCTGACATAGTTTTCTGTTTCTTTGCATCACCAAATACCAAGATTCACCTCTTATGGTCTCTTGTGGGAAACTATAAAGGTCACTTTCAAGCTAACTTAGCATTTATCTGCTGTTCTGCAGTAGGTCTTTCAGACCATGAATGCCTAAGATGGGGCGACCACCATTCCCCACCGCTGAGACTCAATGAGTGTAAATGATTTGCCCAAGCTTGCTCACCTGAATGTACATAGGGTTAACACAGTAATTCTTATTCTTCCAGGGCTTATGAATTTTCAAAATCTGATAAAAGCCATGGTCAGACTTCTTCAAAACATATGCATACTTGCAGTATTTTAGACAATCTCAGATGGTTCATGACCTACTAAATCTGTCCACGTATAATGGGGCCCGAGTTCAAGATTCTGTGTTAACTGTAAGGCAACTGACAAGGATTTTGTGTGCAGGTGTGGAGAATGGATGATGTTTAAAAATCTTCTTCGAGTAACAATCTTCCTCTGAAAC